AGGAATGACTCCGTTTCGTACCAGAGGCCAGAGGTTGTCAGGCCACCCCTCATTGCTGTGGAGCCTGTTTTGCCAGCAAACTTTTCAATCCCCTTTGTCTATCCAGAGAAAAAATATACCTTAATCCTTCAGTTTTCTTGTTAGTATGAGTATTTTGTTCCCAGATATCCTTCACCCATCTCTCTGAATAGCTACCTATGACAGCAGTTGTAGTCCACTAGCGCCCTCAGCGGTGTCCAGCACTTCCCCAGGCACTTTGCAGTGTCCGTTCTCTTACATCTATAGGTGTCTTCTGACAGTTGCCTCTTAATGTGCTCCAGCACTCTAACAGCACACCTGCAGTGCTAAAGCTGGTGCTTTACCTTTTCCTGAGTAACCTGTACACTGATTCTGTGGGAGTGAAGGTGCTAGAGTATTTAAAACTTCTGCATCTCGTTCGTCTGCAGGCTGAAATCTGTACAATCTCATAAGCTGCTGTAGCTTATAGGTTGGAAAGGAACATCAGTGAAATATTTTAAGTAAACTACTTTAATGATCCTTTTTAAGCCTCATTAGGAATCTTTGATTTTATTCACTTACAAGTGAAAGCAATGTATTGCTTCAGGCAGCTTCTCTGCATAATGTATTGTTGGCTGTTGCAGTTGTAATGAGACTTGTATCTAATCACCAAACATCTGGACGTTATCCTTGTCTTACATGATACACGTTGCTAATTTTGCCTTGTTGGTTTGTGTTAACTCTTGATCTGTGATAGTGAGATTTGTGCCCTGGCACGTACCAGGCACGCTCTCGCAGCATTTTCTCTCATTTATGCTGATTTTTCTTTAAACATACAGATCTACTTTGCTGCTGTATTCTCTTGCCTTATTCCTCCTTCCCATCCCTTCCTCTCGTCTGTAAATGATCTCTGTTTGGCCTCAGCGAGTTACTGGTTTCACAGGATAGCGCGTCAGAAGTTTGCAGTTTTGGGCTGTAGAGTTTATGGATGTTTTTGTGTGTCCATGTAGTAAAGGGAAGTGGAGTTGATGAAAACCGGGTATGTTCTTTGTAGATTCTAATGCTTCTGTTGTTTCAGGTTCTTACTCTTGTACGAAACAAGAATTCTGCTTTGACTATGAATATGGACTATTTTCTTATAGTATACTATTCAAAGCTTGATACTGATGTAGAGATTGCATTAATTAATAGGAAATGACTTAATGAAGAAAGCTGGGTCTGTTCTGCAAACATGGGCTTATTTAGGCCCGTTTGTAGTGGTTCTGTTGCCTTCTGGTCCTGTTTCTCTATGCAGCAACAGCATAGCTGTTCGTGAAGCAGGAGCTGAACACTCAACGATTTACAAACCACGTGCTGAAATTAGTAATTATTTCAGTTTATCTTAATGTACCAGGCTATAATGTGTGGCAGTTCAGCACACAATGATTCCTGTGACAGATATGTGTATATAGGAGTGAAAACATGCTGCAAATGTGCCAAAGAAAAAGCTTTTCCTTCTTCTGAGTTAGAGCCTTTAATTGTATTGCCTTGAAATAACCCATTTAAATTAAAGGGTTGACTTAGAAGACTGAAACTTTCTAGGTTCTTGAGGAGGATGCAGATTGAATGGAAGTATTTATTGGCTCTGGTGAGCTGAGATGATATTGATCCAATTTGCTTGTTATTATGTATGCTAATTCTTCTTTAAAATGACTGTCCATCTGGAGCAGGGCAGATTCATTCATTCATGTTTCTGGTTTTGATCTGAAAATTCATAAACGTAAAGTTATATATGTCATCTACAAGCTATATCATTAAATACTCTTTTATGTTACAGGGAACAAACTCACTCTGGAAACTAGACCAACCAAAGAAGGAATAGATGTAAGACAAGAGCTATTGAAGTTCCATTCTACTTATTATTCATCAAATTTAATGGCTATTTGTGTTTTAGGAAGAGGTGAGGACCCAGAATTTTATTCTGTTGGTTGAATAATACTTGTAAATGTTATTTGTGTTCTTAAATAAAATGAAGCATATTCAAGTCTGTGAAAATCTAAAGAAGGGGGGGGAAAAAAGTAAAAACTGATCAAGCTGTACAAACTGATCAAGCATAAGTTTATGTTTAGTGAAGTCTCCAAAGCAACTAGCAGTGTATAAATTTAAATGCTTGTAAAGTCACTATAGAAAAAGAAATGAGCAGAAAATTTTAAATACGTTGTCAAGTTACCAGTTACTGTCATTGTACATATATTTGTCTTGTGAAGACCAACACCTCTGTGGTTTCAGATGTTAGAAAGGCTTTTGTTACTTTTTCCATATTTTTAACCTATACTTCAATTACAAATATTTCTCTGTATTGTCAGAGGATAAATGAAATGTTGAAATAGTGTTAGGAAAATTTTAATATTATTAACTAGTTTTATTTTAGAGATTTGTGAGCCTTTTGGCAGACCTAATCTCAAAATGCCTCACAGAACTTATTTGAGAATGACTTTAGCCAAAGCCTCCAAGATACTCCTAAAGCTTACGCTGTTTGTTTTACAGTAACTTAACATTTAGGAAGGAGTCTTTGGTTCAGTTTCTGAATTAAGTTCCAATTGCTTAATATCTTTTACAATCAAGATGATATTTTGTGTGGGTTTGTAAAAGCTTAATGACAATGTGTTGAAAACTGTTTGCTTATTGAGGAAAATACTCTGGCAGAGCAGTATTTGTGTGGTGTTTTGCAATAACACTTCGGATATGAGCAGAATAAAATTCATTAGCAAAGGAAATCCCTCTTTACAGCTCTTTTTTATAACAGAAAGCTGAGCAGGAAGGTCGTTGACAAAGCACGCCTGTGTAATTCTAATCATAGCATATAAATGAATTTTTTTCTTGTAGATTTTAAGACTGACAAACATGGTCAGGATGATAGTTCTCACTTAATTGAAGTTTTGTGCATATATTCATTGGTGGATCAGTTCCAGGCTCCCTGATTTCCCTCAGTTAGATTTACTGTTACAGCACATCTGCTGTAACATCACATCTTTGGAAAAAAAATTTTTTTACAGTTGCAAGATGAAGAGTAAAATGTATTTGGTTTGTTTTCTTTCTGCAGCGTCAGGTGTTTGTTATGTGTAGGGATATATTTAACGCAAAGAGGGTTAGATGAATGTCACATGAAAAAATGCTTTACGTATTCTGCTAGTAGCTGGGAAATTTCTGCAAGTCCATACGGTAGTATTGATGAAGATAACCTGCACATATTTTTCAATATTCTGAATTTATTTTTATTCCTATTTGAAACAGGGTTTTCCTTTTTATCTTCCATTTTTTTTCCTTTGCTGTTTTTACCAGAGCAAAATAAAAGTCTTTTTTTTCCCTCTGGAGAGCTTCCTGAGAAGCTTAGAAAGAATGTATGCCAAGCTGTTTCCTCACTGAGGAAGCAAACCCGTTGTCTACAGAGACATTTATGTTCTCTAAAATATTCACTTATTAATTGAAGGTAAATAGATATTGATGAGAGGTTAAAACTATTGAAGTAAAATTCTTCTCCTCGTTTAACGATTCTGTTTTCGTGATATCCAGACATTATAGGATTTTTTTACTAGCTCTTTGCTGGACATGCAGTATTCCAGAACAGACAAAATCTGAATTTCTGGTCTCGGTGAAATGCAGAAAATAGCCTTAAAGCACCTTACCTTTTGAGAATTTTTGAAGTTTGCATGTATATGTATATATAACATATATATACACCACAAAATGCAAAAATATCTTTTTAAAGCTTGAATTGAGGTGTTTTCACTAGTGATCTTCTGCAGTAGAATTCCTTCGGTGCGAGTTGCCCTCCTAAATACTTTGATATTTAGGAAAAAATTAAGAGCCTTTGCAAGATAGATCTCTGGGATCTTTCCTTTCAATTTTGTAAAAATAAACAAACAAAACCTTTCTATTGGGCATTTTTTATCAGTTTGCTTGTATACAAAATGCCATGCAACTACCCTTATTAGTCATATTTAATTAAGTTGTTGTCGCTGTAATAGTGAAGTGCCATTTGGACAAAAGTTGCATCTTGTTTTCCCTGGAGAGAGATGTGCTTTTTTCACTCTCTGCTCTTCATTTTAGCAGAAAAAATAGACAATTGCTTTCCAGGACGATATATATGAATGACTTATTCAGTTATTCGAGGGCTTATACACACATGGCTCTAGCAACAGAATTGAAAATGGGCAAGTTCCAGGTTTCTCCTGATTTTTGATTATAAGGAGTTCCCCACATAAAGGCAAGCTGCAGAAAATGATCCATGTTAGCATGATTCTGTAAACTCTCTGTAAATTATCATCAATTTAGCAGTACTGCAAATTAATACAAAAAAGTTTTTATAAATGATATAACATAAAGATATGGTGAGTTGCACTTTGCAAGTCCCACATGTACTTCTGACTCTTCTGCATTCCAAAATAAATGGGTTTCTAAAGCTATGCACAGTCTAGTGGTTTTCAGATGCTCTGATTCTTCTACTGTCTTTTTGTTTGTATATAATATGGAATAAAAAAAATAAAAAAGTGAGGGAATTGGAATATAATTTCTCTAATAAATAGTAATAAGTATTCAAAACAAAGATTTGCTACAATTAAATCATGAAATTCAAATCAGAAGATCTCTGTTTGTTTGTTTGTTTTAATAGAGCCAGCAAAAATAAAATCTAATCAAAAGCAAAATTCACTGAATAATCATGGAGCAACTTTAGTACACAGCTCACATACAGAATCCTAAACAGAAACTTTTTCAGTACGAATCACCCTGGCAACTGGAAGTCAATCCTCGAAACAAAAGCCTCACAGTAACTCTAAAGCTTAAGTGATTGTGCTCTTTGCCCATATTGAGATGGTATTTTTGTTTAGCTTTACAGAAACTTGATTGGGAAAACTTGAATTCAGACTACTTGTGTTTGAACGTAACTGAACTGTGTATTCATTGATTTATAAAGAAGCTACTCCATTAACCAGAAACAGTGTTGTGATCTTGTTTGTTGGTTAAAAAGGAAAAAATGTTTCTATTTTTAGAATTATTACCCTTACCATCTAAATTTGACCTAAATTTGAAGATTTGCTAGTAAGAATTAGATGCAATAATATATACTTCATTTGTGACTAAGAAGCAACTGTGTATAATAAAAAAAGAAGAAAAAAGGATATGGAGAAAGTTTGGAAATAGTTCTTTGAAGTTAATTGTTTATTGCATCTTGGTCTTCTATCAGGCCAGGTTAAAGAGAGGAACCGAATGAATAGAAAACAACTGGTTTTGGTTTTAGCAGTAGAAAAATGTAAACTTCAGCCTTGGCTGACTTTCTACTAAAGTAAGCCTGTAACTGTCAGCGGTAATTTTAGCGTCACTGGCTGGGATTAAGCCTGAAAAAGTATTAGTGGTACCTATCTAACCTGAGGTTCAACACTGTTCCCATTCTGTAAATATAATCTTACATACTTTTTTCTGACATGGATAATCAATAGTGGCCATTAATACAGTTATATGCAGGTCACAAAGTATTAACATATGCTTAACCTTCTTGGTTTGCACTGTATTTTTCCCCTGCAGCTTTCTGTCCCTGCAGCATAGGAGCTCGCATATGATGGGCAGAAAAGTCTTTCCTGATAGACAAGAAAGATTCCACTTTCTACATTTAGGGGGGATTGTCTTGACTAGCAAGGTGGCCGCTCTTCGAGGTCTTTCAAGGATTGAGGTTGGCTTTGAGAGAGCCAAGAAACCCTACAATTTTATTCGGCTCCTATCATGAAAGGTGTAGCCTAAGAAGACTTGAGGGAGAAGTCTCTCTTATCTTATTCTTTCTTTTAGAAATGCTCCAAAATGCCTCTGTTTAGGCAGATAGCTAATTTGAAGGCAGTGTTTCAAAAGAATCCATGTTTGTGCCGTTTAGGTGAATAGATACACAGCATCAGCTTCTTTCTGCAAATGTTCTTAGTTTCATTTTTGACAAGTTCTAGAATCACAGGTTGAAACTAGAATGGATGTAAATGTAGACCTGCCTACAAAGATCACAGATGTGTGTATGAAATTATGGGGCACTGGAGGACAGATGAAGAGTTGGCTCATGAAGAGTTGAAAGTGGGCTGAGGTTGAATACAATCAAATTTTGACAAAGGCACTTTGACGCTGGAAAAATGTGGATTGCACACAGTGCTGTGGAACACTTATAGCTGTAATTCCATGTCCCTTGTGCTTTTTGTGTAATGTTTATTTTTGTAAACATTCAATATCTCATGCGCCTTCTCTTCAGTTCCAGCTTAGATTCATTGGTACAATTCAAAGTTGGTTTTTTTTTTCCCCCCTCCTTTTTGGGATTTCTTTTACTCATGGTTGAAACCTTCCTTTAATAAGCATGGTGCTTTTGTAATTGTTCAAAAATTAAGTATTAAAATAGATGTCCTTTCTGAAATTAATAATCTTCATACCTTTAAAACTGCTTTTCTGTATGATCCCTGTCTCCCCAAAAGTATATCCCAAATCTAAACTTCCTAGAGTCTACAGATTAATCATTATGCTTTTTCTAATGTCTCTTTTTTTCTAGAATCTTTGGATGAATTGACTAGCTTAGTGGTGAAGTTATTTTCGGAAGTAGAGAACAAAAATGTCCCTATACCAGAGTTTCCTGAACATCCTTTTCAAGAAGAACATCTCCGGGTAGGTATAGAGATGTATCTTCCATCAAGAGTGTAGAACTTAAGTGATATTTTTCATGCTAGAGTAACACACTGTGCACCTCACGACTTTTGTATCAGTGTCCCTGATAAATTCCATATTCATTTCTCCATCTTTCCACCCACCTCTCTGCACTAATTATAATTCATATGATTATAGTAAAGATTGCACATTTGGTTGCAGCTGTAAGCAACTGAGAAATAGTTAATTCTCAAATTAATAAACAGTTAATGTTTGCAGCATGTTAAAGCTTGTGAAATGGAAACGGCGGTTTAAGTGTTGCCCTAATTTTTACATGCCTTCACTTTTAACTGGATTTTTTTTTTTATGTTTATGTTGGTAATAAAATGTGTGTGCATAAAGGGGAAATGATATATGTTCCTGAAGAGAATGAAATACTGAGATCGGTTGAGTTTCTGTTTGTGTTATGAATTTCCTCATTTATTTTTATTTTCAGCAACTTTACAAAGTGGTACCTATTAAGGACATTAGAAATCTTTATGTCACGTTTCCTATACCAGACCTTCAGAAATACTACAAATCAAACCCTGGTCATTACCTGGGACATCTGATTGGGCATGAAGGCCCAGGGAGTCTTTTATCAGAGCTTAAAGCCAAAGGTAAGTCCTCTGAAGGTAAAGAATTAAAAATTACTGTACTGCGTGTGTTGTGAAAATTCAGAACAATATTTCATTTAAAATCAGTCTCGGTATGTTCAATTTAAAATTCCAGTTATTTGAGTCATTTGAATCCTAAGTCATTTCATGTTTGTTTCTCTAGCAGATAAAAATGAATAAATAAAAAGACCCTAGAGCATTGAAGCTATTATTTCTTGTGCTTCCATTCTTCATTCACCTCTATATAGAGACACACAAACTTTGATGTACTGATCTTGCTTCTCTTCTTTTACTGACTTAGAGACTATTGTCTGCTCCCTTAATTGACTGGAAGACCTCAAGAGTGTATCTTTGGCTATTGTTCTTTGTATTACAGTGTTCCAAATATAAATAAAATACTTAATGACCAAGTGGTCTCAAGTTCTTCGTAACATCCCTTCACGGAGTGCTGAGCACAAAATCAGATAGGTCCGACTTCTGTAACGTTTAACTTACACTGTTGCTGTTAGTGTTAAGGAAGAGAAGGGGAAACATGTAATGAAAATGTCAAAACAGAAGTAATTTAAAGTTGCCAAAGCATACAAATAGGTAGCTTAAGACTTTACAAATTTGTTTATGTAAAATATTTTCTCTTTGATTTCATAGGCTGGGTAAATACTCTAGTTGGAGGACAGAAGGAAGGTGCTAGAGGTTTCATGTTTTTCATCATTAATGTGGACTTGACAGAGGAAGGACTTTGTAAGTGAAGCACCATGTCTGTGTTCCATGTTATTCCTGATCTGATGGGTCTTGTGTTTGTATTCCAGGAGACTAATTGTGTTTATTACTTGAAAGCCAATATATTTTAATTAACTTATCATTCTTCCGGGTTTGCATCCCCCCAGTATGTTAATGCACTTTGTCTAACATAAAAAAATGAACTCATTTGAGGTTGTATTAAATTAAGCCATTTCGTTACATAAATATTTAAAAAATAAATTTCTTTTAAAGAAAAGCTGTTAATACCTGTATGTGCTGCTTATTCAAACTATTTAAACCTGAGCTAAATTATATTAATTGTCACTGTCTTACTACTGGACACGTTTAAAGCGATTTTCTGAGTTAGCTGGGAACCTAAACACTTAGTTAAAGTCTATGAATGATCACGTTAACTTTGTCAGTGGGATTGCATGCATACTTAAATATTTATCTGAGTGTGTCAGGATCCAGTTAAAAATGCAAACTTTCATATTTGTTTTCATCAGAATTTTTTCCACGTGCAGAACTGAATGAATTATTAAGTTAGCATCTTTTCTTTCCAGTGCATGTTGAAGATATTATTTTGCACATGTTTCAGTATATTCAAAAATTACGTACAGAAGGACCTCAAGAATGGGTTTTCCAAGAGTGCAAGGTACAGTGACTGGTATTTGAAATGTTCTGTGGTTATAATTTTACAAATTTTTGTGTTATGACTAGAACCAGATTCCTTGGCCACCGAGATCACCTTCAATAATTGCATGAGAATTAAGTTTCTTAATTTTAAAGGTTCATTTTCTGTGACATTATCACACAAATGGCTGGTACGCTGAGTGCACGTTGTCTTAGTGTTAATATGAAATGCTTCTACAGAGCTGTGAGTTGACATTGTATGGTAACACAATCGAGGTGAAAGAAGGTATAGCTTACCTGGTCCGCAAGGATTCTGCATAACTCTTCCTAGTCTTCATTGAAAATGTGGGAGAAAAAAACTTGTTATGCAGGAGAACAGTGGATCGGGAATTGAAATGGCTCTTATTCTACTCTTCTCTTCCTTCATGTGCCAAACTGTAGAGTTGAGATTGTAAAGGACGTTGATAACCTGCTATCTGACCTTTCTGAGAGGTGAACATGTTGCTTCCTAAAATGTTTTCTAGAGTACCTCAGCTGTATGCTTCAGTGTTTGCTGAACTGTTAAAATGTCTTACAAACGTGTGTGGCTCTGTGTGTACAGAGCAAAAATTAGAAGTGTCATATTAGAATTAAACAGTACTGAACTTCTCCATAACAATGTGAAATAAAAAGTTCTTGTGTGTGTATATATATATGTGTGTATATATATATATATATATGTATGTATATATTCTCATTGGTTCACTGGAAATACTGAAGTAAAGATTTTTTGTGCATATAGTTTCCTCTTATATTTTTTTTGTGAAAACTATCATCTCTTCTGTGTAAAATTAGAAATTCCGTAGATGCAAGTTTATTCCTTGCATTTTGATGCTGTATACCTATGAAAGAAGTCCCTTTACTCTCTGCTAAGAGAGTCCCAGTGGAATTGTTTCACAGTCACCATAAGCAAATATAAGATTGGGTTGTGACTGAAAGAGGTAGTTCTGTCCTCCACCTCGTAGCGGTGTCTTTCCCTTGCTCCTCCTGTGTCAGCCCTAGCGCTCCTCAAGCAGCAGAGTGAGTTAGAAAAGCTGGCAAACTGATTGAAAACTAATCTTCTTAATTTTCAGCTGAATTGTTACTTGCTGTATGGTTTCACAGGAGGAAGGGACTATCCCTTTCATTGGCCTTGTAGCCTTAGATCTCTTTAAGTCACCCTTGCAGTTGTATTCTAAGAATGACATTTTCTATTTCTCTGGCTTAAGACAGCAAAAAGAAACACGTTTTTTCTGTCTCTAAGCTTAATTTTGTCTGGTTAAACAAAAGGAACAAAAAGGCAAGAGAGAGAGGCTTCAGTTCCTAAATAGTCTTCCAGTGCAGTGTTTGTTGTCTATCTGTTGGTGGTATTCAGGTTAGCGTGTTTTCAAATTATCAAGAAATTTAAATATACAAGCTATGGGACAAACCTCTTACTGTGAATATGACTTACAAGACTGTCGTTTGTATTTTCCAACATAGAACTTTTCGTTAATAAGCATGCTTAATGCTTCACGTTGTGAGATTATCTTAAGTTGCTCATGAATTTTGTGCAACTTGCATATAACTGATGAAATCTCATGTGTTAGGTATCTGTCTCGGTCTGAATACTGCTATAATATGGATAGAATGCAATTCCCTCCTCATCTTACATCATAAAAAGGAATTAAGTAGCCTTAAGTGTTACTAAGTATTTTTATTAGTAAGTAGCCTTAAGCATTAAGGATATACTTTTTAACCCCTTGCCCTGTTGTTTCCTAGGATCTAAATGCTGTGGCTTTCAGATTTAAAGATAAAGAACGACCACGAGGTTATACATCAAAGCTCGGAGGAATGTTGCATGTAAGTGATTTTTTTGGACAATATATTAATCATTCAGCAGTTAATTTCTTTTAATTGCACTGTGAATAAATATGCATATTTGCAAAGATCTCTTGCACTTCTTGAGCTTAGGAAGCTAATGTCATGCTTCATGAGCTCTTACCATTGGCAGTCAGCAGGTCACGTTTCCTTCACTCTCTAATATTTTATACTTCCATGCTTGGTAGAACTGATTTTACAATAACTGAAGTTGTTCTTTCTTCTGGTTATTTCAGTGTTGCTTAAGACAGCTTAGGAATGCATAGATTTCTTGAAATCTCCCCTTCAAATTAGTCTACTTAGCCTTTTGTGATCAGAATATAGTTAAACGAGCATTCCTTGGTGTTTTGTGAATCTTTCAGACTAGACTTTTCAAATTCTATTCTTATCTGATCTATTTTTGACAGATCTTCAGCATTCACATTTGAATTTTTTTTTACACAGGTTTGGTTTATTGTCCTTGGTAACCTTCTTTTCTCTTTCTCTTTTCCAAAAATGCTTTATGTAAGCTACTGTGTCTTCTGGAATTGGTTCAATTGAAGTTTTATGTATAACGTATGTAATTCAAAAAGTTCCTTTATAATAACTTTGGTTTTAAAAGTGCAGCTGTATGGCACACTGCTGGTACCCTGTGCTTAGGCTGCCTGGTGTTTTCCCTTCATATACAAGGGTCTCCAAAGTCACTCCCGCTAGTCGTTTTCAGACAAATTCTAATTGACTTTCTCTTAAATTGCCAGGGTACCTTGTCTTACAATTTCACTGTATTCTTTTTCAGATATATAGTAACTGGCTCACTGACACCTCTGTATGCACATAACTCTTTTTAAACAGTCCGACCACTTCTCTAAGTGAGTGGGAGAACATGCTCTTAGAAATAACAGTTGCTATAGGAGAGTACAATAGAATCATAAATAGTAACTAGATAGACGTGTGTTCTATGTATTTGAAGTTAAATCTGATCTGATATTTTATAATTTGACCGATGTTCTGGAAATGGGGCATAACTCAACATCCATTTCCTTCCAACTTAATGAAATGCACTGTTTGGGTCTCTCACAAGTAAAAGTACATGAAAAATAAGAGGCACGAACCATTTCAAAGAAAAGCTGTAAGGCTGGTCCAGAGCTGCCTGGCACAGTGAGACATTGGGAACACCTCTTTTGGGAGGCAAGAAGTCAGTATTTGGGCTCTCCATTAATAGTTCTTACAGGCAGGTTTTGTTATTTGTGTATGCTGGTGATAGCAAAAGTATGCAGTTGACATGATTTGGTGAAATCCCTTAGATAGCTCTCTTTCCTACCTTAAATCTTAATTCCAGCATGGCTATTTGCAGGTTTTACCCAGAATATACTATGTGCATGCATTGAAGATTTGCTGGAAATCTTAGCGAGTTTCACAATTGGAGCCCTAAATAAATATGTTAGAATTGTCTGTGGAATTTATATTATGCTTTTAGATAAGTGAAATATGCTTTACTTTAAAATACTGTAAAAGAGATTGAATTTTTAGTGAATCCTAAAAAAAATAGATGTTAGGGGTATTTTGTTCTGTTTTGTTTTTTCTCCAAATGCACTGTGGTGACTACTTGATGTTCTTTTATGTTTAAAAAAATGTCCTCCAGGGGTCAGCATTTACCATGTTATTTTTACTTTTGTTACTGTAAAACCATATTTAGAGGTGGGTGACTTTTTCTCTTGAAACATGGAATACTTCAACACAAAAGAATGCAAATATATCAAAGTACCAAAAATTTGGGAAATATAATCTGCATTATCAGCCTACTACTTCATCTTGTTTAGCTTAATTCAGTCGTTTTTTCTTGTTTAGTTTTTGTTGTTGTTTAATTCATCTACATGATTCTGCATTTTTTGTTTTAGTATTACCCTATAGAAGAAGTATTGGCTGCTGAATATTTGCTTGAAGAATTCAGGCCTGATTTAATAGAGATGGTACTAGATAAACTGAGACCAGAAAATGTTCGGTAAGTTGAATTGCAGTAACTTGTATTTTAATTCAAAGGCTGTAAGAAAGCAGGAGATTTAACAGGAGTACAAATTTTTAGGTATCTTTTACAACTCCAAAGTAAACATTACTGAAAAACAGCGGGTGGTTCTGTGTGTTAATGAGATTTCTTTGTACTCTGCATTGAAAATAAGCCACGTCTATTTTCAAGGGCATGTAACTTTTCCTGTTCAGACTGAAACTTTTTATGCAGGATGTCTTCCTCAGGCTGAATTTCTTCTTAAGAAAATGTTTACTGAGAATAGTTCAACTGTAACTGAGAAAAAGCGTAGTAAAAGTTATCCTGCTTCACTTGAGTGCTTGGGATATTTTAAATGAAATGCTTGAATGCTCATAATTTGGTGGTAGGTCTGGAAATCCGTTAAGAGGATGGTTTTTATCCACCGTATGTGTTTTATTTTCCCAATGGAGAACTATCAAAATTTGTGCAGATCAGCAGAGCCTCTGAAAAATATCGAATTATGTGGGTGGAAATGTCTGCATTTTTAGCTGCTAAAATCTCCCAGGCTTCCAGAGCATCTCTTTGATGTGAGTGTGACCAAACTGTGTGTGTTCTTCACAGAGTATGCCGCAGTACATACTCAGATTTAGGGGCTCAGTAGCCCTGAAAGTAGACCAGGTGTTGAAAGGAAAAGAGGAAGCATCACTCACCTATGCTTTTGAGTATCCTCTGTTGTCACCCAAGTAGAAAAGGGAGTCCTAAAGAACAAATATACCTAGTGTCTATTTGAATACACGAAGATCAGTAGTCTGACCAGGGTGAGGGAAATGAGTGCACTGGAGCGGATAGTCTGCTAAGATTAAGATACACAAGTGGAGTAATCTGGAAGTCAGAGAGAAGACAACTGGAGCAGGCCAGCAAGGAGAGTATTAGCTGAGGAGGAGGAAGGGCTGGGGCAAAGGTTTAATGAAGAGAGGAGGAGCCTGGGACATAAGTGGTGAAGGAAATGGTGAGAGTGTTTTAAGGAGGGATATTGGTAGCTGTGGGGGAGTGATGAGCTCAGTCAAGGACAGAGAGGCTGGCTGCTGAAATGGCTTGAATGTTAAGTGCAGATTAGACAAAGAAATGAGAGAGGTGTAGAAAATTGGGACTGGCAGGCAGAGCAGAGGTTTGAGAGCAGCAAGCCTGGAAGGGAAGGCTCTGTCCAGCTTGGAAAGGATACTAACCTGAGAGTCCTGAATGATGGAAATTGGGCAAAGAGAAGAGGCGAAGAGAAAAGGTCTGAGACAAGGAGTGTGAGGTAAGACAGCAGCAGAACCGATGGGACCAAGCTTGGAGACCTAGCAGAAAAACTTGTGCCCGCTAAGTGCAATATAGTCTACAGTATGTAGGCAAACTAAAGTTTTCTGAGGCTTGCTCTTTTTTTGTTGTCTGCAGATGTATACTTTTTTCCTTTCTCCCTGCGCATCCTTGTCTCAGTGCTTGCAGAATAGATGTGTTCTGGGAATTACGTAATAAGAGGCCTGTGTAATTATATCATAAGAGGCCATGTATTGCTCTGCCTGACTTACCAATGTAGTTGGAAGGTGTGTAATGAGTGTAGCATGAATCTGCAGAAAGAGAAAAGTAGAATTTCAAGGTTAAGGCAGTTTAATGCTGTCCTGGATAACAGAGTTTTCTCTCTGCTTTGTCAGAAGTTTCCTAAATGGCACTAAGCAAGCTCCTAAAACAAGCTCTTCACAGCAGGCCGGCAATTACTTGTTCTTTTTTTTTATTTTCCTGGCTATGACTAAGGTCTTAAGGCCTGATTAGAGGGGTTGCTGTGCACTAGAATCATTTCCAAACTAAGTCTACAGACGCTGTGCTTTTAGTGTATGAGATGCCATACGATGCAAAGAATTTTAAAAGTTGATCTTAATTTGAGCATCCAAAATTAGCTGTTGCTGGATGATTATGTGGATCTCTGTATGCCTCAGCTTGCCATCTGTAAAGATAATGTCTCTTGGGATATCTTAAAATACAGAAGTGGTTTTTGAAACATTCAGATACTGTAATACTGAGTGCTGTGGAAAGGACATTTCAGTAATTAGTTCTGTTAATTAAGACCAGGAGATGGAGAATATTGGAAAATGGAAAAATCAGGTCATGCACTGTGCAAAAAGATAAAGTATCAAAACCTGCTTCTTAATTGTCTATTCTGTAAACTTACATACACACGTCTGTATTTTATATATATGCATACATATATATGCGTGTGTAATATGATTCAATCTAATTACAAGAAGAGAAGACAGCGAATCAAGATTGCATGGGCAGTGGTTATTTTAGTACTTTGGAACTTAGGTTTTGTTTTTTGCAATTCCATTCTTTTAGTATAGCTTTTGTGTGTATATATTGTAATAAATTGTAATATTAAATCCAAGTAGTGTAGAGGTATTACTAAAATGTACAAAACCACAGAAATTAGTTGTTGCTTATATTTCTGCATGTCAGTATTTGATCACCTGTTTATCAAAGTATTTTTGTATCATCTACCTGGCTTCCAAGATAATACACTTCTGACTGTTTCTGAATATATTCCATGCTGGCATTTTTGGACAGTGTTTGATACAGAAAGTACCATGCAGATAGACAGTGAGGCATGCGATATATATTTTTCAGCCTAGTGAAATTACTTTGAAGGCCTAAAAAATTTGGGCGTGAATCTTCATTATATTTATTTGCGTGACAAAATCTCTCTTGTATATTCATTTAGCTTAAACTACATAATTATTGGATACATTAGGGTAAAATTGGATTATGATCTGCATTTGCAAATGTCATGGGGTTTATAGGGGTATACTAGTAATGGTAAAATAAATGAAACTGCATATGTCAGTGACTGTAGTTACCATAGTAATTAATGCCCTTTAAAGAAGGACCTATATCTTTGTGTGTGGGTGGGTATCTATGTGTAATGTGCGTGGGATACTGCAACTGAAGCTTGACTATTTGGAGAGAACATATTTTGAACAAGCAGTACTCAGAATTTCCAGGTTCTCTTTCCTGTTGTGTTAAATACTTCTATTTTGAATATATTTTCCATGTTGGTCTTCTGCCCAAGTTTTGAAATCTGATAAAAGAGCTTACCTTTAATAGAAAGACCGTTGTTAGTAATTAAAAGAGGGACTATGTAATTACTAATTCCCTTGAGAAAGCTTAATCAGAAATTCCAAATGGATTTGAACTTCAGACTGATTTTTGGAACAGTTTGGAAGCAGTAGATAAACCATTTTTTTCATACTGATTTAGTAGATAAGCTACAGGTGCTGAATTGGGTCTGATGTTAATTATAGCTTTAAAATGTGACTCTTAAATTTTTAGAGAATAGTAAATATTTCCTTAGGGAAGGATACCTTCTGTAATGTAATTGAGTCTTTATGCTGTCTGCCAGAGAACTACCAAGGTATCTACTTGCCCAAACTTCTAAAAATTGCCATGGGAAGTGAAGAGATTTAAATAAATTAATAGAGGCTTTGAGCTTGTCATGTGTGAAATGCACATACTGCTGGACACCGCAGACCACTCATCAGTTTTCTCTGTTACTGCTGTCACTGGTTAAGCCAGTCTTTGTCACTCTCATCCAGCTGACAGTACTCCAGCATCAGGTAGCCAAAACTAACATTGTTCAAGGGTTTTTAGTGTGAGAAAGGAAAGTGCAGAGAACGTAGGTTGAGGGAGAAAAAGTAAGTCTGTAGCATGTGCTCTGAAGAGTAATAGTGGTAACACTCCGAATTTTTATAAAAACTTTTAGGTGGTGTGCTTTGCAAGTTTTGGCTTTTGTCAAATGTATAGTAAACGTAACTGTTTTACAGCATTCTCTTCTTTCTGTTAATATAAGCCCTCGTTTCACTTGCAGTTGCAATAGTGCATTGTTCTCTGTCCTCTATATTTCAAAAAAAGAAAAGCAAGAAAAGAGTAAGAGAGATTAAAAAAATACATCTAAAAAAGGTTTGGAATTTAGTCTTTAAAAAGGATACTAGCCACAATGGACTGGGGAGATGAATAAAAAATAAGGAAAACTCTAAGAAAAGTAGTCTGGATGGGCCTGCTCACAATGGACTGGGGAGATGAATAAAAAATAAGGAAAACTCTAAGAAAAGTAATCTGGATGGGCCTGCTCTCCCCCCCCCGTCTTAGAAGAATTCCGTGGTTCTTAATGAAATTGATCATCGGTACATTTTAATAGAAGAAGATTTTAAAATGTGTATGTACATTTTATGTATATGTGAGTGTGTGTGTATGCACCCGTGTGTATGTGTGTATGTATGAAAGGCCTGTGAAGTTTCATTGTCATCAGTTATATATGTGAAAGCTCAATAGAACCTATATTTTACAGTCCCCAAAAGCAAGGAAATGAAGTAATGCCAGAGCGTTCCTCATAGTACAGCAACTGAAACAGCAGCTCTACAAGTCATACTTGGAACAACTTTTAAGAATTTTTGAGGAAAGGATTGATTTGTCCTGACTGACCTCTGCAAAGGACCTTACGACTGACAGTGCTAGGTTAGAAAAGGATTAAACATTTCTGTGGGTAATGAGAACGTGCAGCATTGCTCTGGATAGGATGGGTAGGTTGTAAGACATATACCGTTATCTTTGAAGGTACAAACCAAATGTTAGCTAACTGAATAGGAAGAAAATTCCATTATGACAGATTATGCCACAGTTTGTAGTCTTTTTCTTATATTTTTGTCTGAAGTGTCTGATACTGGCTACTGACAAATTCAGTATCAGACTGCGCAGGCTGTTTTTCTTATCTGTTGTGGCAATTTCTACACTGTATAGACATAAGTAGAAGTTTGAATGATGTGCGGTGGTGGTGAACGCTGTCACATGTTCTGAACGTACTTGGTAAACTGCAAAGTTCTCTTGGTGTGGTCAACTCCGTAACCTTCCATGAATCCACTCATTTTTGAACTGTTAGCAATCAAGGAAAATATTTGTTTACTATATTATATATACCTTTTATTTATAGT